AACCCACTGCAACATGTGATGAGTCAAAGGGGTCGAGCCATCATGCATGTCAGATTGCGGCAAACGTGCCAAACTTGTTGTATGTTCACTCACGACTGCTGAATAATTGTTCTAATCTGGACACCTCAGGGGGCCTGTCCTCAAAACTAATCTCGGCACCACAGGGGGCTGACATGCAGGTACACAACAGAGCGTCCCCTGTCGCATCAGCATGCCTTAGCAGCCTCATCGTTGGGCAGGCACTGCTAAGGATGTCCTGCCCCCCTGCAAAAGAATAATCTGAAAAAACATGCTGCAGAAATCGTGATTGGGTTGTGAGCCCCTTACCTCATGTACGAGAGGAGTACACACACGCGCTGCCCCGAAACCGGGGCGCGTGCAGACCAATGATGCACGTTGAATCGGTCTTCTCATGCTGCGAGGCTGTAATTCGAACATGGTGGCCGGTGAAATCGGCAATGTTGCATTTAATTCAGCGTGTTCACGGTGTGCGGGATCTTTTGTGTTTGGTAGGAGAGGACCTACCAGAGCTGCTGCCTCGATCCGTTGCGGAGGTAGGCTGGTCCGCGGGCTGCGTCTGTGATTGTTCATCTCTGCTGCGGACGGAATAGAGCCAGGCACGGGTGGCGATAAACCGGGTCCAAGACCAGCGATCCTCATTGTCGCACCACCAGTGCCACCGCCATTCAGATCCCACTGGGGACCGTGAGCGCTGTGTCCTGGGCATGTTGCATGCAGAGAGAGCAGAATAAAGGACATGTGAAACGTCGGTAATAATACATGAAAAGCGGATGTGGGTTGCATACTGAGGTCTTTTTGTCATGCCATAGCTGATCCATCGTGTCTATGGCTCAAGACCTATCTGGGGTGCCTTGTCGCACCAAACTTTCTAAGATGTCGAGCTGTTGTTTGCAGCTGGCCATCATGGCAGTCATTCCCTCATGCTGTGTCGTGAGTATGGTGATGTATGGTGGTTGCCTGCTGCATGAAGCACTCTAATTTTTCTTGTGATTTCGTCATGGCCTTGTGCAGGTTCTCGATGAGGATAGCCACTTCCTGCATCTCAGTGGAGCTTGTCGGTGCCTGCGGCGTTGGCGGTGGAAATGGTGGAGTGCTTGGTGCTGGAATATCCATTGGATCTTCTGGTGACAGCTGTTCTTCCGCTTCAAAGGTCTCAGTGTCGATTCTGAGAACTTGCTTTTTCAGCTCCGGCTTTGGGTCTGGCTGTGAAGGCTGCTGGGCCGGAGTTGGATTTGAACGCGATGGCCAGGGCTGAGAAGTGTATGAGTCACGTCGAGGCTTGTGCTGGCGCTCTTTGTGAAACTGCCGGTGAGTTGGTTGACTGCTCAGAGCTGTGTGCGTGTGTGGGCTGGATCTTCCCACTCATGGCACTTCTGTACATCGTAGCGCTGATAAGCTCAAAGGAAATGGCTGCGGCAGACGGACATGTGAAACATCTGTAGTTGTGTATGAAGAGCAAGTGCGCGTTGCTTGCTTTCCTTTGCCTCTTTTCAAGGCTGTAGTGAGTTCAGCTTTTGCTCGAACTGGTCGAAGTGCCAGCGCGTCCCTGATGTCTTTTCAGGGGAAATCTTTTACAAAGTCTGGGTTTGTGGATACGAACCGTGTGTCCATGCCGGAATAACCTCGGAAGGTTCTGGACACTTTGGATCTCTGTGTCCTGAACCAGAGCAATGCGCGCAGGATGTTGCTCCGGTAAGGAGAGAAAAACCTGCAAAGTACGGCTGCTCAGAAACAATGAGGCAATCGATATCAGCTCAGGTGTGTGAACCTTGGGTGCTTTCCACTCGCCATGGTATTCGCGTGACAAGTCCTTGAAGTAGAGAAATCGTGCCAGTCACCGGTGTAGTGGGCAGCATGTCGTCGGTTGCTTATTTGAGCACTAAACGTTGCGTGCATAATAACAGTCACGGGTATTGTATTGAGGTGCTTCGTTGTGTAAACCGAGCATGTCGACTGCTACTGTTTTGCTTTCATATCAATCCGGTCATGTGTGTTACGACCTAAGAAGGGCTTCAAGTCTTGTGACTCGTTCCTGAAGGTTGGCCATCTCACGGTTGGTCTGCTCGATGTACTCCGCCAGTAGCTGACGGAATGTCCCGTCGCTGAAAGTGCTGAGAGCACTCTCAGTATCAGAGCCTTGTTCGCGATGCTCGGTAAGGACCTGAAACAGGGCCTCAGACAGTGTTTCTCTGGGTGCCTCGGCATCAGTAAGCACGGTGGCTTGCATGGACCTCGGTGATGCTGCCGATTGGTCGGTCATGTTGTCAATGTGCTTGAAAGGCAGCAAAAGGAAGCTACGAGAACCAAAAACCTGCGGTGGAATGCTACGATGCAAAGGCCGACAACTGCAAAAAAGTGCGCTTGCAGCTGCATTCTTTTAGGCGGGCGCGGATCCATTGTGGTTTGTAACCTGCTTTTGTGTACACCTCTGACAACTGCTCCATAGCGTCAGAGACTGCTTGTTTTGGTGTCGCCAGCCTGTTGGCCAAAATGGCCCGGGCTTTTAGGCTGCTACGTAGCACTGTGTCTGGTGACGCTGAGTGTGGCGACATAATGTCGGTGAAGTTGTTGGCGGCTTTGTAGTGTATGCTGTGATGCTGGGGGCCAATGGTGAAGCCAAGAAAATCGAGACCGCGGATGGCGGAACCGTAGAAAAGGGGGAAGTAGTGAATTGCCGAAAATGGGGAAGTGATGTTGCGCTGGTGGGGATGAGGGAGAGGCGGTTGTCCACATAACGGGTGGCGAAAAAACCGCTGATGGTGAAGATGGGTGTGCTGCAGTGCTTGATGTTGTAGGTGATGTTGCGAAAAGTGTGGATCCATGATTGTTCGCTGACGGCGACGACCATGTCGCAAAGTGCTGGGCTGGCGGGTGAGCCCATTGGTGGGCCTCGGGTCTGCTGTAGAAGGGTGTGGCCGACGTTGCAGTAATTCAAAAGAAGGACTGCTTTGCAAACGCTGGGTAGATGGTCAAGGTGTATGGTGTGGCGTCCAAGTTTTTGAAATAAGGCTTCGCACGCTCCCTTTCGTTTTGTCTGCGAGGGTGCAGAGTCTTGTACCAAAGAAAAGAACTAGAGGCACAGCTTTCGAAAGTTTGCTTTGGCTGTTTTTACACATCTACATTAAAAGTCTCAGCCAAAAGCTTTTGCGACCCAACCTGCAGCTTACAATTCAAGACGACATGCTGCAGGCACGGGCATCTCGGATACCCTTACAAGTCTACGCGGGTCTTCTTGCTGCGCACTCGAACGAAAGAGAGAAGGCTCTACTGATACCGAGCACAAGTAAACACCCGACTGCTCGGCTAATATCTTGTTAAAGCCTAGTTGTTTAGCAAAGTTTAGCAGAGCTCCCTCTCATCCGGAAAAAGGCAGGCGAAGAGAGACGGCAGTGCCGCTGTGTGCAGAAAGAACCTGGGCGGGAGGGCGGGAGCCTAAAAGTTGCGGCTATGCAAAACAAGCTCGCGCTACGCCTTAAACTACCAAGGTTACGTCAAAGGCTTCGCACGCTCCCTTTCGTTTTGTCTGCGAGGGTGCAGAGTCTTGTACCAAAGAAAAGAACTAGAGGCACAGCTTTCGAAAGTTTGCTTTGGCTGTTTTTACACATCTACATTAAAAGTCTCAGCCAAAAGCTTTTGCGACCCAACCTGCAGCTTACAATTCAAGACGACATGCTGCAGGCACGGGCATCTCGGATACCCTTACAAGTCTAAGCGGGTCTTCTTGCTGCGCACTCGAACGAAAGAGAGAAGGCTCTACTAATACCGAGCACAAGTAAACACCCGACTGCTCGGCTAATATCTTGTTAAAGCCTATTTGTTTAGCAAAGTTTAGCAAAGCTCCCTCTCATCCAGTTCCCCCATGTGTTGCAAAGCGACCAAGCCGCAACGTGCGCCTGAAGAAAGAGAAAGGGGCCTTCAGCGGGGGACGAGAAACATCAAAAGTGATCTCAGCGAGGCGAGCGACGCCGTCGTTGATGTAAACGTGGGCGGTTCTGTCAGAGCCCCACCGGCCGAGCTGCTGCACAGAGTCGAAAGAAGGGTGCTTTTGGAAGTACATTGTTGCACCTCCCTTCGGAGGCTGTATGGGCGAAAGCCCCAGTCTGAAAGGCCCAGTGTGGTAAGAGCCTGGTCGAATTGCTTACGAAAAAGATACGAAGAGAAGGGGACAAGAAAAGTTTGCGGTGACACTTGAGATTTCCATTTGGCCAGAGCGCGGCACACAAAATCCACCCGCAAGGTGACGGAGTCTTCTGCTCCAGTTCGCTGGGAAGTTTTGGTAAACCCAAGGTTGAGGATGGCAAAAAATATTGTTTTGGACTGATCTGTACATGACAAGCTTGAAGAGCTAGAAGCTCTCCTGTTCGCAAGAGACAGTAAAACTCGACCAGAAGTGCCAAAGACATCTCCTGTTTATTCTGAAGCAACAAGCACCCAGCCAGGGCCTCTAGCAACTCTTCAGGCAGCGGCATTTCAGACTTCTGCCACGTTTTAACCAATCTCCAAGAGAGGGCCAGACAGCCTCGAAGCGAAGGTCGGAGATCTTGGAGCCCTGACGCCCATCCGTTGCAAGTGAGAGGCTATCCCCTTCTTGCCACAAGTGTTCCATGTACAGAGAAGACATCTCGCTTTCACGCAAGATTGGAACACTTTTTGGATGCGTAGCGGCAGGCGGCGAAGTGCAAACGAAATCGCATTCCAGATCGAAACATCTCAGAAGTCGATCGGAGCGAATCGTTGCGTATCACCCCACCACTCCAATATGTAAGAATAAATACAGGGTGGTGTGGGCGGGCTGAAAAAGCTTCACAGTCCTCGAGCGGGCAACAGCTGCGAAGTCTTGCTGTTGCCGCTCGTACATGTCACTACGTGCACACGTGCACTACACGACATCTCGCTTTCACGCAAGATTGGAACACTTTTTGGATGCGTAGCGGCAGGCGGCGAAGTGCAAACGAAATCGCATTCCAGATCGAAACATCTCAGAAGTCGATCGGAGCGAATCGTTGCGTATCACCATAGGTGTGCCGCCTGCACCATCACAGCACACCGGAAGCCCTAAACCTGTCAGAGCCCGTCAGTAGTTCTTCGAAGACGCCGTCCCAGTCTCGGTGAAGCTCGGTCCAGCTTTCGGCTCGAGCGTGTCGAAGGTCCCCTCTGCTGACCGAGTCACTGACGTTGGCGGAAGACGTCACTCGTTGCCAAGCGGGTCGAAAAGAGTTCTCCTCGAGGAAGCGCCACGCATGTTGGAGCAAGCAGTTGATCGACTCGTCTTTGCCAAAGCCACGAGTGAGTGCGTGTCGTGCAGGTTCGTTGTCGACGAACAGCAATACGTGGCGATCGAGCTGTCTCTGCATGGCGAAAAGAGGGAGAATCTGGGCCACGATCTCCAACATGTAGATATAGGCGCGGCGGCTCGTGAATTCCCGCACGAACCAGTAAGGCACACGTCCATGTGCGAAGTAGGTCCGCCCTTGCACCGTGACGACGAAGCCCCATCCGTTTCTGAGCGTCTCAGGTGGCGTGCGTCCCCAGCTGGGTATGTCCTCGTCGGAGGGCTTCCAGTCCTTGTCGAAGAGGTTGAAGAACGCGTCGGCGTAGAGCACGGAGTGCGCCTCCTTCTGGAAAGGAAAGGTTCTGGGCGGTGCGTGGCGTAGGCTCCATCTGAGGAGGCCGATGCCATGGCGAAGCTGTCCGTCGAGTCGCCAATTCTGGTGGTTTCTGCCCGCACCGGTAAGTCTAGATCTTCGAAACAAAGGCCGAAGCGCTGCTGCATGCGATCGCCCTCGAAGTGACTGGCAGTAGAACTGTAGTTTCCCTGCTAGGCTCGCTGCTTCGTGAGGCGGAAGACGATCCTGAGTGAGCACGTCGGCGAGCATCTCGTCGAGCCGTTGGCGACGTTCTTCGGTGCCCTGGACGGTGACGGAGTCGTTGTTGACGACGATGCTGACGCCCTGGATGACCTGTTGCGAAGCGGGAGGCTGTTCCTTGGACTGCTTAAAAGAAAAACCCAAAGCCTTGCAGAGTCGTCGCGAGGCGTCGAATGACGAGCGGGCGAGTTCCATGGCCTCTGCGCTGCCGAAGTCATCGACAAAGTGGAGTGCGGGCGTGAATATGCATGCCCGGCATAACCACCCCATGAGGTCTGCTATTCTGCAGTACGACAAACATTAGGACAGTGTGACGCCAAAGGGTCACTCCGTCGGGCGTCGCGAGAATGACGTAGGTATGTGACGGGTCGAGCGCTGGGAGCTGTCGGTACGCTGCTTCGTGGTCGAGGCCCCATATGAGGATCTTGCCTTCGGGTCGACCTCCTTGATGGCCTTGACCAGTTGTACGTAAGAAGCCACGTCGTGGTACGGCGGGGAGTCCTCGGCTGCGACCGTCGCGTTCGCGAAAGACCTTCGCCAGTCCTCGGCTCTGCGGACTTTGGGTCGGCCGTCTGAGCCAACCTGGTGCACTGCGAAGGCGAAGCAAGTCGGCTGGTGGTCGTCGGGTCCTCGAAGTAGCTGACTTGTGTGTGAGTGCGAAGCGAGAGGCACAGCTGTCTTGGGCCAACATGTTGGGCTGGAGAACGGGCCCTCCATTCTGCCGAGCTCCACGTCTGCGGCAATCTCATTTGCCATATGTTTCCAGCATGGATCGACTCGGCACCGGCGAAGCTTGTCGACGACGTACTGCTTGTTGAGGTGCATGAACTCCTGGAGGTCGAGCGGGTTAGCGTAACGCTCGTCATTGCGTCGTTTCCATCCCAAGCCCGGGGCAAGAGGTCCAAGAAGGCGAAAACCTGTGGTGAGCTCGTCGAAAATGTTCATGTCCTGCCAGCTGAACAACTCGCATATTTGTCGAAGCGCGGGCAGTTGTAAGGTGCACACACCGCGTTTGCTTCGGTAGGCTTTCTGAACGTGCGGGCTCAGGCTTTCGTACCAACGCCTGGTGTCATCCTCCAGGTCCATCACGAGTTGCTCGACCTGTTCGACCACTGCGATGCGAAGGTCCGCGAGGTGACTTCTCATGCGAGACCAGATTTGGATCCATTGTTGTAATCCTGGTTCCATGTGCGCGTCGCGGTGGTCAGGATGCGGCATCTGTCGTGACAGTCTCCAGTGTTCCGAAAATTCCTGCAAGTAAGAGAGGTCGAACGCGTCGTACTCGCCGGGTCCTGGGCCTAGAAGAGGAGGTCGTCCCTGCCACAAGTTGGCAGCTATGTCCAGTGCGGTTCCCCCCAAGGGGTTCAGCTCCTTGGTTGAGGCTGCGGGCGTCGCGGCAAACACGGCCATGATGAAGATCAGGCGCGCGGCTCCGGCGTGCCAGCCGTTGGCCAGTGCTTTGTGACGTTCGTGTTCGGAGAGCTTGTTGGTCCAACCCTCCGGTAGGTGGTGCCATTGTTCTTTGACTGAAGGAGGCGGAATCACGAAGCGTCCCTGGCTATCAACCATCATAACCCCTGCCTCATAATGCCAAGGAGCGAAGCGTTGTCGATCTGCACGCCAGCGCTGGTTGGCCTCGCTGCTGATCTTGCCCTTGCTGCTGCGTGGCGCGGGGCGACCCTGAGGGTCATCCGCGGGTGTGGTTAGGCACGGCAGAGGCTTGCCTTCTTCGACCAAGCACCTTGGCAGCGAAAGTCCCGAGGTTTTGAAGGCGTGCGGGTCGTCCTTGACGAGGTCGAAGTGAACTCGCGGAATCCCTTGCATGCTTGTCCACCTCAAGCGAAGGGGGCAGTCGGATCGGTGCGCAATCTCTTGCCAGGGTATCCTGCACCACCAGACCCGTGGTCGGGATATCGTACCAAAGTCTGCGGCGTCGTGGACGACTGCGGGCGCGTCGAGAACCTTCTCGATCTTGCGCATGTCGGTCCGGTTCTGTGGTATGACGTTCTCCACCATCACGATCGCGCGAGGGCGTTGCCATTGCTTCTCGAGGTCCACGATGAGCTGTGCGAAGCGCATGAACTTGGAGCCTTCTGGTCCTTGGTGTCCAGGCGCATCGGCTCGAATGCGAGAAAAATCATGACATGGGGGACCTCCTGCTATCACCACGGTGGCCCGTCCTCCGGGGTCGAGCTCCTGAACGAGTTCATGCATGGATGCGGGCGTCTCCTGTTCGAAGTCGCCGCGGTGGATGACGTCGGGGAAGTGCTCCTGTAGCAGCATCTTGAGGTTGGGGTCGATCTCCCATGATGCTCCACGCCATTGTAGGCCGTTGCTCCTGCAATGCTCGTCGCAGATCAGACATGCTGTGCCCAGTCCGTCGAAGAAGCTGAGTATGACGATGTCGGGGTTGAGGTCGCCATGCTTGATGCGGACGGTCTCGGCCTTGCTGCGGAGCGTGACCTGTTGGGGTCGCTGCGCGGCGTGATGATCGGGGGATCTCCTGGAGCGGGGCAAAGGCGACCGCGAGCGAGCGAAAACTTGGTCGTCTCCGCTGTGCGTTGGGTCGGGTCCACCCCTGCGGGATGGCCCGTGCTGTCCCTATTCCTGTTGTTGCCACTGCTTGCGGCCATCCTGGTTCTGGCGCCAATCTGACGTGCGCCACTGCTGTCGATCGTCGTCGTGCTGGCGTCCTCGACCGTATCCTTGCCAATGTTGACGATCGTCGTCGTGCTGACGACCGCGGCCTTGGTATTGCTGCCACTGGCGATCGAAGAAAGCGTTGTGGCGTTGTTTCCCCCCACCTTTGCCGTTGCCCTTGTGCTCGGAGCGCTCCCACCAGCGTTGTTGGCCTTTGCCTTGTCGACCTTTGCCACGTCCTCTGCCTCCACGCGGTGTGTCTTGCCAGGTAGCTTCAGTGTGGCGAGGAGCGCGGGCGGGGCGATCGGGCTGAACCTCGGTGCTCATGGCCTCCTGCAAGAGCTGGCTGTCGGACATGATCTCGTGGGAGATGTCCTTAAAGGGGTGCTTCTTGCGAAGCGCCAAAGCTATGCGCCAAGAGGTGTTCTCCCAATGGACCTTGAGCTGGTCGATCTTGTTGGGGCGACTGCGCACCAGGCGTTGCCACCATGTGAAGTACTCGTCGATGTCGTTCTCCGGGGCGTACTCGATGAATATCAGGGCGACGCGAATGGCCTCCAAGCAATCGAGGAGGGCAACTTGGCTCCTGGGCTTCCATGGCGTCTCCGGTTCGGTCTCGAGCTGCAGGTCGGAGTTCACGACCAGTGTAGTAACCTGCTCCTGGGATCGTGCTCGCTTGCGGGCGGAACTGAGGGTGTTGGGCAGGAGCGCAGCGGTGAAGTGACGGTGCTGCACGATCTCCTCGAGGGGAATCGCGTTGTGTGTGAGGTTCTTGGCGTCCGTCAAGAGCTTGGCGAGCACGGCCTCAGCCCCCAAGAGGGTCATCTCGGGGAACTTGCGAGGTACCCCATGGATGAGCACGGCTTCATACTTCCGGATCTGTTGTTGCCAGTAGCCGGGTGGCAGCTCCTTGGTCTTCGAGGTTGCCGTCGTAGGTGTAGTCGTCGTGCTCGGGGAGCCGCTCGCCGTCGAGGGTGCGGTCTTCTCACGTGCCTTCTTCCATGCGTGGCGAAGGCGAGCGCGGACGACTGGCATGTCGGCGACGTTCACTTCTAGGATCTTCCCGTCCTGGAGCTTGAAGGGCGACGCTAGGGGCTGTACCATCGCCTGGTCGAACTCCTTAACGTCGTCACCCATTTCGGCGAAAATCTCTGTCGTCAGTATGCCCTTGGTCGCGACGTAGGCGATGAGGTCTTCCGACGCGCCGGCATCAGAGAGAATCGCTCGAAGGCCGGTGTCCATGACGAGAGTGACGCGAGCTGGTCGATCTATCTTAAAAGGGGGCTGCGGAAAGAAGTGTCACATGTGACTCATGCTGGATGCGAGCGATGAACAAAGCACATTCGTGTTTCCCCGAACGCAGCGCAGCGAGGCTGCGACTCAAAACTCTCAGCTCGAAGAGGAGTCGTAGCTGTCGGTCGACTCGGTGTCCGATGGCGGCACTTCCGCTGCCTTCTTGCGCGTCTCGGCTCCTGCCTCGGGGAAGCACTTCAGGCACAGGTTCTGCGAACCGTCGTCGTGTGCTCTGGTGAAATTAGAGTAGCCGTATGGCCAACCGCAGCGGGCGCGCCATTTCGCTGGCGGCCGCGAGGACTCCTCGGGGTCCCTCATGTGCGCCTTGCGCTTGCAAACCAGGTCCGGCCTGTCCTGGATCGACTCGAGGCGCGCGGCTATGTCATCAAGCGATCCGATCATTGCTGCCACGGCCTCTTTGTCCTCTGCGTCTGTCTTGGTTGAGCGAGCTTTCTTCGTCGGTCGAAGCGGAGGCGCTGGCTCGGACTCCTCCAGGTTATGCACGAGGGTCCAGGGAGGGGAGTCGTGCGCCTTGTCCCTGAGGGCTGCAGGACCAGGCGGAAAAGTCGGAGGGCCGGCGGCCGCAATGCCGTAGAGGGCGTCCTCTAGTTCGGTGTCCTGGACGTAGCGCTCGATCGCGCGACTCCCCCATCTCCCGATCAACATGATCGTGCTCACCGGTATTCTCATGCGACACAGGTGTTGGGCGCCCGAGACCCGAAGACAGTGTCCCCCAAACCTGTTCACCTCGGGCTCAAGGGGAGCTCCGGCTCTGGTCAGCGGCACGTCGGCCGCGATGAGAACTGCGTGGATCGCCTCGATCGTCTGTGCCTTCGTCATGGGCTCGCCAGTGTCGGCTGCGAAAATAAAGGCCTCGGAGTCGGAAGAGCACTGGTCGGCGATGCGGAGCGCCGCGTGGTAGGGGCAGATCGTCTCCGGGATGGTGCCAGAATAGCACGAGTGTCTTCGCTGCACCATGGACCCCACGGTGTCGTTCTTGCTCGCGGACAGGGTGAGGCATACTTGCTTTCTTTCGGAATCGAGCGTCATGTGCTTGACACGGAGCGCGGAGAGCTCGATCTCGCGGCAAAGAAACCAGGATCCCAGGACCACCATGGCATGGTGAAAGCGAAGCCCTTCCTCGAGCAGGTCAAGGCAGATGTCGAGGGAGTCGAGGCGAAAGGCGTCCTTGGGGGAGTTGGTGCCCATGCCTCGCTCGATGGACCTGATGGCGTCGCGTATCGCCAGTTCCACGGGCGGGGGGACGGCTTGGCCCGTGACATGTATGTGCTCCTTGCGAGCACGAGAGAAGTACTGAGCGGAGCTGCGGTAGCCCC